GATGGTTCGACTCACTAAATATTTTGTGTCCCGCCTTGGAATGAATGAAGAGATGCAGTTAATCTTAGACTTTGATCTCCTAGATGTATACGAACTGGTGACCGACATACCGAATCAATTCCTGCCGTATAATGATACACCGCTGTATTTGTCACGGGTCCCAGTTAATCAGTGATGGTCTGCGCCGAGTAATTCGACAAAAGACGCCGATATAATATCCACTCGGCTCTAGACAACTGAAGCATCAGTCAAAGTGCATTCTGACATTGAATTGCGGGGACGGGGGGGGGGGGGCAAAGATACTGAACACTCAAGATCAAAGCCGGTCGCCAAGGACAAAAATCAGTCCTTGTTGTGTACTAATGCATTCATTGTGGGTGGACAGATTAATCCTGTGTAGTTTTCTGGGTGTTATAGCGCGGAGAAAAAACATTGTCTAGTTCCTACAACCGGCTGAATTCTTAGTCCAATAAGAAACATCCTCTATACAAAATGCGTCCGGGAAGAACGCTACAAGAGATTTCCACGTTCAAGACTTTAAGTTTACATGAAATCAGAACTTACTTTTAAAGTCGCCTCTTTGCTTCTGCAGTTCGAGTTCGCACTTTAATTATACTCATTTTAACGGGGCTTTCTTTTCCAAAGGAGGCATATCTACCGCTTGGTGGCAACACACACGGAAGCCTGGGCATGCGCATTTGCGTTTAGGAACATCACAATCTCAAGCGCAAAACAAAAACGAACTCTGACAAAAATCTTCGCTGCTGGAAATAATTCTCGCAAGGACTGCCACTGTACCACAGGCCTGCATTTGAATGCACCCTTCCCGCCTCCTCTTCACAAAAAGTCAACGGCCGGAGGGAGGAAACATCCGAAGAAAGCACCTCGGCATTTGTTTCCAACTGATTGCTTAATAAGTATCCGGTAATTAAACAAGCACGAGCTGGGACGAATCTCGGATACTCGAGCAGCAGATCGCGCGGGGGAAGCCCGGCGAATCAATCTATCAAACCGGTCGCTTGCTGTCACTTCGCTGTAACTCTAATGTCGTGTCAGCAGTTGTCAGGTCAACACGATGCAATCCCTGGTTGATTTCCCTGCACTTGCCTCCGTACCGTCAACGAGGGGAATAAAGGGGAAAAAGGAGAAAGAAAAACAACTAGAAAATAGGAGGGGAAATTGAATCGAGGAATCACGCTTCACAGCCGGCACGGGCGACATTTTGTTATGGGAATGTCTATCAGTGGCCGCTTAATTAGTCGCGGTCTCAAGCGAAACGTAAAAATTGGACCCTCGTGGTGTGTCTACGTGTTTTGCCCGCGCCCAAAGCAAATTATGCCGAACAATCGCGAATGTGAGCGACTCTTAAAGAGTAACGTGGGTTTGCAATTGGCTTTTTGCCCGTTTGCCCCGGAGACAATTTTGTGGCCAATATCTTTTACACAGATGGTTGTTCTAATCTTTCAAGGACCTTTTATGGCAGTTGTTTGGACATAATTATAACCTTCTGTTGCAAGCCAAAATTTCATTAAAATCTATTTTTGGTTGTCAGCTAATTTGATCATATCAGGGTTTTCACTGAATCGACTTAAAGAAAACAGAGATCATGTTGTGATAAGGTTGAGTCTCGGGGAAGCAAAACATAAATGTTCAAGAAGTAATTACCGTTTATATTAAAAACCGGCCAAATGTTTGTTTTACTTGCTATTTTACTGTGCAGAGTGCACAGACACTATCCGTCTACTCCTTGGCTGTTTCTAAAGTATTTTTTCTTTAAAGAGGCTTTTTCAAAACACCGTTGTTATTTTTGTCCTTTACATATTTTATTTTTTACACTTCATACCAAAATGAAAAACGAATACCACAAGTCTCTGGATTGTCCGCCTCGACAAATAAACACACACTATATTAGTGTTTTTAAAACAAAGAAAGAAAACAGTTTTTCCTCTTTTTTTAACCTTTCTTTCTCAAAATTTCGTGAAGTTTCACGCACAAGAGCGGAAACAAAGTGTTAAATATGTCAGGAAATTCAAAGATGTTTGAAAATTAAATATAACATGTTTGCCTGATGGACAGTGCATGTATCGATATGATATTATTTTTTTTTAGCCATAGGTGCGTATTTCTTGTACTAGACTAAAGCACATTGATTTTAATGCTTGTACTCAAACATTCAAATTGTACATTTAAAAAGGTTACGAATCTGCGCGCAGAGAGAAAAAAATTCCCCGATCTGAGCAGTTTCTCCACGCCTTTTTTTTTTTTTTTTTTGTGTGGAATCGGAGCCTTCTTTTTCTCTAGTATTCAATTTGTAAATTGTACTTGAATTTCTTCCACGTGTTTGGGACCGATGTTCGAAATCGAACTAAGCAACTGACACGCAGGGCCCAAGTTCGACCCATCCACACAACACGTTATAGCCTCTGATCTAAGCAGCCTCCGAGTCTTTCTCCCTCCGCTGAGAGAAAGGTGATTGAACATCAAACATTGCCTGAGCCTCTCTGGGAAAAACAAATAAATTTGGATCAGCTTCAATTTTGACAGGAATAAATCATACATCAGTAAGCAGACAAATGGGCTGCGCATTCCATTTGGTCGTTGTTTTTGATTCGAATCACTTCCGGAAATAAAAGAGGAAGGGGAGGAGGATGAATGATTACGGCACAGTCTAGTCAACGAGCGCCGAAGGGTTTCAATAATATCAGGCGACAGGTGGATGTAATCCACGGGCTGAATGCAGTCTATCTACTGCATGCCCTGGCTAAATCCAGAGAGACATAGGCCTACTGCACCTGGTGCTAATAGCGGACGTTTAGATTCAGATCGATGCAGACATAGTCAATATCAGGCTGATGCCGTACACGCCTCGCGCTATAATTCGAGAGACCCCTCGAATTATGTTCTGTTGTTATTTCAATTCGGCCTGCTTCGCTCTATGGCATCATTTCCCAAGACAACCCGGCTAGCTTCGTGGAAAACGCACCAGGTCTTAACGATGGAGGATTCCATTGCTCGTTGAATCAATCCACTCCGGCTTCAATCTCATTTCTGAGGGTTTCATTTTTTTTCTTCATATAATGGACACCCCGAGGGGAGGAACATTTTGATCAACGATCTCGAACAAACGGATTAGGCCTAATTCATTTTTTTTTTATTCAGTTTCAGCAGCGCGTAAAACTCCGTTGAGATTTCTCGGCGCCAGTGGCTTTCTGAGCTGAAATTTATTTAAATATTTGATTTGGAAAACATACAAACAAAACTTTGGGGAAATGAAAGATTCCAAACGACTATTTTTGTGCCCTTTGTTTACGATTAATTTGTGGGAAGTTGATTTGTTCAGATTAAAACGTAAATGAACAAAAATGTCTTTCGTTCGTGACAGTCGGGTCGGTAAGAGTCATTAAGCCAGTCGTCTCGTCTGTTTGAGTAGTCGATACAATTAAGTTATAACGAAAATTGTAATTGGCAGGAAAAAACATCGCGATGCCACGCGTCCAATCAAACCCGAGCTTTTATCGCATGCGCACTGCTTGTCTGCGTTTTATGGCGCACTCCAAAAGTCGAAGGAGGCTCTCGATTGGCTGAAAGTAGAAGCCTGAATTTGATAGCCAAAACCGATTGGTTTGGAAGCACACCATAAAATTAGTTTTATAATAGTTCAATTAGACTTGACACGATATGGGCATAAAACGGACTTACGCGTTAAAGGGCTTGATGGCTTGAACATTATCCGTTGACGTCATCCTCACAATCCTTAAGTTCGAACGGGCCCTGTGAGAGCCCTTGAAAAATATTTTATTACCAAAAATGACCGGGTAATGATGCTCAATCTTAACGGGCCAACCTCTCCGGGCGTACACCCCTGCTTGGGCGGCAGGGCGCATGCGTGACAGAACAGAAAGTCTTTTAATTCGCCATTCTTTCGGTCGTTTCGTTCGAGAGCAACTTGGCCGCCGCACTTCATTTTTGATTCGTGCAGGCTTCAATTGCGTCTGCAGCAGCATTGTGTTTGCTTAGGGACTTATGCATATATGCAGGGTTGCGTGTACGTAGGCTACCAAAACATTGTTACCAACGAGTTGTGTCAACACTCCAAAAACCCGTACCGTTTTTTTTTATCCTTCTTAGGCTAACAGAATGATGCAATGAATGTTTCCGACCCACAGTAATTAATTTGGCATTTCCACGGACGTTTCGTCGTAAAAAAAACGCGATACTTGGGCCTGAAACTAAAACCAAAATGGAGAGGCAGTGAAATATCTCAAATCAGGTGCTTGAGGGGGAGTTAGTCTAAAGGTTAATGCTTTTCACGACATTTTTATCTCACAATTCAGAGAAATAAAATCAAATTCTCTTCAATTTATCAACTGGGACACTTGTTAAATAAAGCCTCAGATGTGGCACCCATTCTGCAATGCACCCGGGGTTACTTTTATACGAAAACGATTTTAACGGACCTTGGTATAGTTTACTAGATGCGCCACAGGGCCTTTTGGCGAGAGAGTTGCGAGAAACCATTAGGTGCTGTGACACAGTTAGGAATCATACTCCAAAGCCTATTACGTCTAAATGTAATGCTCCATTCCCACTCTGCCATTAATCATTTCTGTTTCAGTCCATTAGTATTTTTTCTAACTTAAGGGGTAATACATTCCATATACATCTCACAGATGTTTTTGGGTTTTTTTTTCTCAAGATAACAGAAGAAATGTTGATGTAAATGCAAGATGTCCAAAAATTGCGGAAATCTTATCCGCATATTCTTGCTCTGCGGCTAGCTGTCTTTACGGATCATTCCCAAAGCGCGAGCTATTTTCTGCCTTAATGCGCTCACGTCGTTGGGGTACAATCACCCTTTTCACTGGTATGGTAATACTTTCTTCTCGTTCACTTCACCACATCTTCAGAATGCCAGTGGTGAAATTAATAGGTAATACTGAATACTATTTAAAGAAAGAACAAAATTTTGTAAATTCGAAACATTTGGGATACAACTTATCTTACATTTGCGAAACAAATTGTGCAAACACATGTATGTTAATGCGCTCTCTGACAGAACACTGGTAATTGATATAATTCGCCAATTGATAAAACTTAACCAATCAAGATTTTTTTCAGGACAACAAAACAGTATTTAGATCAGCACTTGATAATGTAAATCATGTTAAAGTTCAGCACTTTTATATCTGAGATAAGAATTACATGTACAGTCAAAGCCCAGCTGATATACCGCGGCAGTGTTGTCCCCCGGTAGGGTAGTTTACCTCAGTCGGTTGATCTCCACGACGATTTAAAAAAATCGTGTTCCCATTAAACCCTGAGATGGCTTTCTTAGTTTGTCTACCGTATGGGACTACGGTGAACAGTGAAACGCAACAGTGCAGTGTGACATGAATAAAATATGATCAAAACCAGCATTGCTACCCAATAATACTACTATCGACGTGTATGTATATATACCGTTTGGTATGACACTGCATGTCACAAATTCAATTTCATAGCCACGTCTCGTGGCACAGTGGCACTAATTACATTATTCAGAGACGAATTCTGGCGTTGTTTATTATCATTATTATTATTTTCTTTTTAATTGCCAAGGATCAGCGGAGAGCCGGCACAAGACTTGACGAGATGACACGGCGGCAATGCTGTGTGTATGATACAGATCAATAGAAACCCGCAGGGAGCCATATTGAAAGCGAACACAAGCCACAAGCAAATAGCGCAGTTACGGGTTATAATCATAATAATTGCACCAACTGCAAGTACACTACTTGAACAAAAACCTAATGCCCGCTATAAATTATGTACAAAATTACTTCAATTGTGTCCTATTGTCGTCCCTTAATTCTCCAAACTTTATGCTGGTTCGGCCCAAGAACTGTACACTTAAAAATCGTCTGCAACCTTCACAAAGTACATTGGCGTTATCTGTATAGTACTGATCACAGCGAATTTTGTTTTTCCTACGCAAAGATAGGTTCCAACAGTAAAGATGACCTCGGTCCATTATGTATTATGGTCATAACTCATTTACATAAAGTGCAGATTACAATATTATTATGATGTGAGGTATTTTTTGGTCACGGAATAATGAAAAATTGAGAGTATGATAATGGAGTATGTCGCAGCAACTACAAAACATGCGGAGATATTTCGTATCCGAAATATGCGCAGGAAAACCCCGACGCCATTAAGTCAGTCGTAAGCTGTCAAGTCTGAAGGGAATTCTGAATATTGAGCAGATCGATCTAAGGATTGGCGCGCTTAGTTTGCTACTTATTTGGACTTTGTCAAGTAAAATTTACTTTATATCATACTCATTGGCGCTTCATGTTGGGCTATAATTTGATTGGATTGTCAAACAGGTGAAACAATGTAACAAGCTTTTACAAAATGTATAAAGGGGGATGAGTAAAACAGTTGATACAAGTGTAAAATTCCACGGATTTTAATGCCACTTTTGGCGCCATTTTTTTCCGAGGTTGATAGTGAATACATGATCGGAGTATTATGGGGTACTGATTTACGGGAAATACATGGCGGGATACGAGCACTCAACATTATTGATCTAGACTTACAACCGCCCGTGCGTGCAACGCGATCAGCGCGGGAAGCTCGACACAGATACCTTTTTTGGTCTTTTTTTTTTGTCCTTGGTGAAACCAGAGATCGCCCTTGGCAAAATATATCGAAGGGGTGTCTCTTTTGGGGGCGAGAAATCAAAGATGTGTGACTGTACCGTGAGCGGCGGGCGGGCTCCCCGAGTCATAGATGCCAACTCCCCTGGGGCAGATCAGTAGGCAACCTACAAGACGAAAAAGGAGAATTTCCTTGATACCAGTGGCTTTTATCGTCTCCATGGTCTGGTTCAAATCGGCCGATTCGTCTTCTGGTCTGGCGCCCAGTGATTTCCCGCCAAATATTCTCGCAGACCCGTAGGGCTGTTGGTTCGTTGATTTGCGTTCTTTCCTCCTCACATGCGAGTGGACATGTCCGTGGTCACCACGGAGGTATTCTTGGAGTATCGCTGGCGTTGCTCTGTTCTGCTGAAGGTGAAGGCCACGTAAAAGGCGTGGCGATATCTCTTATTGGTCACCGTGTACACGAAGGGGTTGACGACTGAGTTGACGTAGGTGAAGGTTTGGCACACGATCAGCAGGATGTTCTTCTGGTGCTGCTTGAGGATCGGTTTGCTCCCCATCTCATCTACGATCAAGGTCCCGAAGGAAGTGAACTGGAACGGCGACAAGCAGATGAAAAACAGGGTGCCGTTGATTATAAGCATCCGGGCCACCGTGTTCCGGATCTGGTGGCTCTGGGTCACGTTCTGTGGTGCTGGGGTGCCCGAGCCCTGGCGGGTGGCTTGTTTCTTCTCCTTGGCCGCCACCCTTTGGTTCAAGTTCTTGATGATCATGATGTAGAGGATTATGTTGCCTACCATGGCCACGGTGAACGGTACGGTCTGCATGCCCAGGGAGAAAGTGAGCATCCAGGGGGCAGCAGGGTGACAGGAGCCGACGACCTTAGGGAAGCTGCGGTATTTGTCCGTGTCGGGCCAGTTGAGGCAGATGGCGACGAGCTCCGAGTTGGCCGGTACCAACAAGCAGGCGAAGACCAAGGCGATGAACCAGGTCACGGCAACTAGCTTGACCGTCCGGCCCTTGTCGCTCAGCATCCAATGCTGGACGGGCTTACAGATGGCGTAGAAGCGCTCCAAGGAGACCAGGGTGACCAGAAAGAGCGAGGCGAAGAGGGTCAAGTTCTTCAAGAAATGGACAATGATGCAACCGGAGCGGCCCATGAAGCTCGCCGTGTCTATAGTGAGCGGGGTGGCCTGGTAGGCCCACATCTTCTCACCGATGGCCGCTACAAGGAAAGAGATATCAGCCACCGCCAAGTTAGCCAGGTAATAGTTGGTGACGGTGTGCATCCAGGACACCCGCGCCATGACGAACAAAAAAGCCAGGTTTCCCACCAAGCCCACGAAGAACAAGATGGGCATGACGATGGTAACCATGAAAACCGACAGGTTGTCCCTGAACCAGGGCATGAATAACTGCTCCATTCCTGTCAGGTTGGTAGGTGGCATGTCGGGATTACAGTCGGACTGTTGAGCTCCCATCTTGCTATACCCAGCCCTATGGCCGAAAGAAACAGTTACTGTCAGTAATTTCAGTCAATCCGTCGCCCTGCAGAGCTGGAGCACAAAGGGATGCTCACACAAATGACTTGCCTTTTTCCAGGGAGAACAAATTAATCCTGCGGACTTCACATTGTACAATCCGTGGGCTGATTAGCAAATCACGCAGGGTATAGCGTATTGCCTTTTGCAAAGAAACACAATATTTCAATTTGAAACCGCAAAAGTGCTTGTGTAATATCAGTTCATCTCGCCACTACTTGCTGAAGTTGTGCAGAGAAACAAAATCAAGGCCCATTCTCCAGGAACTGTCAGGGTTTTTGGGTTTTTCAACGGTGAGCTCCGAGTTGAGCGATGATGTGCCGTCTCTCTTGAGCGAGCAGCGGGGGTTCTGGAGTGCGCCGATCGGCTTGTGACGGACGGCAATGTACCCTTTCGCCCCGTCGCACTCTCTCTATATACGCACGGCAGCCCAACGATATCACTCTCTCTTCGTCATCCACTGAGAGCAGAGGTGGGCGGGGCCTACCGCGCGTGGCTGATGCGCGATCTCCGCGCCTGCGCAGTCGCGGCGTATCGTTCCGTCCACCGGGTACGGGCAAGCAAGCCGTAAAAAGCCGGTGCCACAGCAGGTCATTTGCGTGCAGTTCGGTACATCTCCTCGTCCCTAGTGCAATGTTTATACCAAAATAACAAACTCGCTATAGCAAGGCAATTTCGTGACACGTCTTCCGTAGAGGTTCTATACCTCTGTTACTGACGCTTGACGCAGAAGACGATATGCCTTTTTGACAACCGCAAGGTTTTTTTGTTTTACGGTGGGATCTGAAAATGAAGCAGGCATGATTAGAAACCTGTCCAGGGGCACAGGAGATTCAAGTCCCGTCAGCATTCTATGTTGGGGAACTGAATCGGCGAGGGTGTGACGTCACCATAAAATCACGCCACACGAACGCACCGCAGTAGGCTTTTATAGAAAAATGCGACTGACATTCAATTCCATTTTCACACAGACCTCCCGGCCCGATATGAAGCATTAAGGAAATGATTTATTTCTTGTAATGAAACCAAAGATTCCTCAAAAGTGCCCTATAGCTCGAAAGCCTGAAGCAACCTGAATAGAGAGGAGTCAATGAGCAGAAATTACCGTTTTAAAGGTGAGAGGAAAACCACAGATAAATATTCTGGGGGAAAACCCACGGAATCAGGTATAGGGACTGAAAACCCAATCCACAGTGTGGTCAGAGAAGGAATCGAACACGGGCCATAGAGGTGCATGGAAGGCGGGGGAAGAAACCACTACGCAAATCTCACTCCCCTAAAAAGGTACACGATAGAGGTCTGTTATTTTGCCCCACGAAAACGGGTTACAAGTTACCAGCCAACATTGCTTGTTACTAGTTTCCAGCAGATTTGTATTTCTTGACACAAATATCAACTAAGCTTTATTCGTTCTCTACTAAGCACATCCAACCAAAGTCATAACAAATACGACAATAATTGCCCAATTTTTTGGCTGCAACATGAATGCAAGACACGTTGATGTTTGCGACATTCAAAAATTATAATACGCACATTGGTTAGTTGCCTAAGAAAACCATTCAATGTCCAGGGGAGTCCAGTTGTTTGTTCGTTGTCGATCACTGTTTATATGGGTTTGGATGACTCCTCCAAGAGTAAATTTTATTCATACTTATTGCTGAGTCAAAAAATGAGCCCTACATAATTATTCACTGCTATAATACTTGACTATGATAACGAAGATGACAAATTTGAATTTGAGTAATGAATGCATCAGTAGTACTGAAGAAAGACGAATGTTGCAGATGGAAAGCCGATGAAGATCATGTGCGTGTGTCCTTAGCAGTATTTTTTGAGAAGGTGAGGACAACAACATAGCAATCAGTGATTATGTGTGATTGCCGCGCCAGTCTCGCCACTAAAAGGAGGATACAATGTGATTACCAAGGAGTTGATGATCGAGTTCGGATGATGATGATGATGATGATGATGAGGGTCGTGAGAACGGGGATGAGGGAGAAGATCGGGGAGCAGGGATCACCGGAGCAGGATGAAATGAAGGGGATGATTATGATGAGGGTGACGGGGATGGCGGGGATGATGATGCATTATGACGATAAAGGTGGTAAATCGTTTTTATAGCCGTCTTGATTTAAATGATATTTAATTCTGTAGAAATCGAAACACCAAGTCATCAATATTTATTATTGTCAGTTGATCAAGGGAAACTTTGCGGATTTGATTTTAAACTTCTCTTTGAAAATCGTATTTAAAAAAAACCCAGCCCACAAATAAATGTATCCTTCACGTGCTAGGTACATTGGTTAAAATGCCTTACATGATTTAAAGACATGTTTGATAACAGTTTATTAGACAAATACAGACTCAAAGCCAAAAATTAATGGAGGGGGGGGTACACCCATGTTACCCCTAGACGCATCTACCATTTTGCACATAAAGGACCCAATTTCAATATCAAACAATTTTGAACAGTTTGAATCGTAACAGAATGCAATCATCGTTAGTTGACTTTTTTTTCTGATCATGCTTGATTTAAGTTATATATAATCCTGAAATAATTGAACACCAAGTCATCAACATAATTGTTTAGAGCATGTTGTCTTGATTCGAGTTGTATTTAATTATGAAATAATTGAAAACCAAGCCATCAACATATATATATTTGTTAACATGTTGTCTGGACTCGAATTATATTTAATTCTGAAATAATTGCACACCAAGTCATCAACATAATTTTGTAGAGCATGCTGTCTTGATTTGAGTTATATTTAATTAGGCAGTAATTGCAAACCAAGCCATCAACATGCCTTGTTAAAACCGGCAACCATAGCCTTTCACTCTGTGACAATTGACACAACAAAAACCACAATTAAAATGTGGCGCAATTCTCTAAATAGACCGTTTCATAAAATTGGTCACTGCTCAGTCTATCATGAATGTAATGACATGACCAGGGTGTCATTTTAAAGAGGAGATTTAACCCTAACAGAAGATATCTCCCTTTGATTCACATGTGCCCATATTCTGTATGTTCCAATTAGCAATAATATCTCAGTTGGGTTTTTTTTTATCTACCTATAAGCATGTTACAGCTGCGTGAAAACAATACTTCAGACATGGTATTTCAGTACCGCACACGACCAAAACAGGCAGGATTCTGCCCGTTTCCGAAAATATCCGAAGTATTCCGAGTACGATTTCGTTTACCGTGCCTGCGGATACAATATTGTTCGCGATAACTCGGGTATTGCCGGGTGTAAAATGGTTTTACCAACAAAATACCTATCATGCCTGTTTTCAGTCCTGAAATATTTGAAATTATCAAAGCAAAGCTTTAATACCAGGCGTAATATTCAGTATCTGCTTTCAATAACCTTTCAGGCCTTGTGCCGCAAGTATGCATTCGGACTATGGCATGGCTTAACGCGTCATGTTCTATTTTTGAATGTGATGTCTACCTGACCAACGTCTAATAGACCTGTATCATGCTGCCACCATTTCAGGCCTGTAGCCAATTACAGTACTGAATGATAATGGTTTTTGGTGCGTAAAGGAACCAGACTATAGCCGCAACACGATAATGGTCTATAGGAGACATCCGGTTAATGTCAGGTCAGGGAACCAGGCTAATATTTGTCGGTTACATTCAAGTTTTGCAGGTGGAGCCGGCTGATACACGTTTTCTGTTCGATGTCAAACTTTTTTGTAACTCTTAGTTATTCTAATCAAATAAGCCATTTCCATAACAATACATCTGTAAGAGAAGCCCTTCGATTTGTGCTACTTCCAAATGGATTTTTGTTTCTTTGGACAAAGTTGAACCATGATCTGTATATAATGTAATAATTGGCATCTATAGGCCATCTGTCTCTCCATCATCAATGTCGCATTTATTTTTCTGTTCGTGTTAAAAAAAAATCAAAATGCAATTACTGAGATGAAAGCTCGTTGAATATTATTTTAATTTAAAATCATCATAATCGCGCACATGTTTTACCTAGAAATTTAATATAGCTTTATGATCAGCACTGACGTTAAGTAATAGATTGGAGGGGTAAAAAAATCGTCCAATTCGACAGGTCCATTTTTCCTTGAAACTGTGAGCAACGTTGGTGATGTGGCTCATGATGTTGAAAATTAAGATGTAATGATGATAATTAATTAGAATAGATGGTGGTTATGATGTTGGTTATGCATGGTTGAATTGTGTTTAAAGGGAACAACATTTTCTTTTGCTGTAATTTTCAGAAATGGGTAAATATGGGGGTTTAGTAGTCTATGTTGTAGCAAATACTGTTACACTGACTTGTTTGACGTTTTTGGTTCGTACATGCTGAAAAAAAACCAAGAAAAGCAATTATTTTCGATAATGGTCTAATCGATTGCAAAGAAAAGGTGGACTATGTATGATACATTTGGAGCAGGAGTTGAAAAAAAGCCAGCCGGCTCACACACGTTTTCTGTTCTAGGTATAACTACTTTTTTTTTAATAACCCAATAAATTATTTCCATAATAATAAGTTTGTAAGAGAAGCCTTTCAATTTGTAATGTTTCCAAATCGATTTGTGTTTCTTTAGCCGAAGTTGAATCGATCTCACTATAATTCTTTGGCATCTGTAGGCCATCTGTCCCTTCATGTAGACAAAAAAAAAATCAAAATGCAATTACTAAACTGAAAGCCCGCTGAATAATATTGTAATTTAAAATCGTAGCTAATCGCGCACGTGCTTCTCCTGGAAATTTAATATGATCAGCACTGACGTCAAGCAGTATAGATAATATATTGGGGAAGCAAATAATATTCAGTTTTGACAAGCCCATTTTTCCTTGAAACTGTGACCAACGTTGGTGACATGGTTCAAGATGTTGAAAATTAAGTTGTAATGATGATAATTAATTGTATAATAGATAAAATGTTATAGTGACGATGGTGATGATGTGGGTGATAAATAGTTGTATATGTAACGGAATAAGGGTTGAAAAATAATCAATGTTGATTTTTGTTTTATATTGTCGGTTCCAAAAAGGGTCCATAACGTTTGGTTTGAAAGCGTTGACTTCATCTTTAAACAGTTTTTAGTTGACGTTTTGCATGCTGGAACATCAACGAGTAAAGAAGCATTTTGAGAACGCCATGAAAGGAAATCTCTTTTGTGCTTTGGTGTTTAATTCTGAGACCTATAAAACGTTTCGACTTGTGTGCTCGGCTTGTCTTCAGAAGAGGAACAAAAAATCACACAAATGACCAACGTGCACCAAATTCGTGGCTTCATTTGGAACCGATTATGACGATCTCTCGGTGATGTTTATTCGCTGATCAACTTCGCATAGCCCTCTTCAGAGAACGCACTCGGCCTGAGAATAATGCA